GCGCCCGCGCCCCACGTGGTAATCGTGGTCGGGAGTCTCCACGAAAGAATCCAGAAACTCGTTCAGAACCTGTCCGCCGCGAACATTGCCACCGAGAACAAAATGATTCCCTCCCCACCCGTGATCGGTACCAGCGCCGTTCGACGTCAGGGTGCGCCCGAAGTCCGACTGGGAGACCACGACCACACTGTCGAAGACGCCCTGCGCGTCCATCTCTCCCACAAAGTCCTTCAACGCGTCGTCCACTGCGGCAAAGAGTGGAGTAAGGCCGACTTGGTTATCCAGCTGGTTGCCGTGCGTGTCGAAGCCCATCAACTGCACAAAGAAAAAGTCCCGCTCCGCATTCCGCAGGCCGCGGCCTTTGATGAGGCGCGCGACCTGGCGGAGCTGCTGCGCGAGGAAGCCATCCGTCTGGTAGGTGTCCTCCGTATCGAGCACCACCTGGTCAAAAAGGGTCCCCAACTCCTCGCTGCTCCTGATGTGGTCGGCGAACGACGTCGCGTACTCCTCGCAGTAGACATTACCGTACTTCTGCTGGGTGATAGAGTCGATGGTGCCGCTCCACTCCTGGAACTTGTCGAAGCGTATGGCGCCCTTCTCTGGGTGGATGATCTCGGTGCTGGTGTTGAAGCCCACAGACCACGTGGATATTCCCGATACGGAGAACGAAGCGACCGCCCTGTTGTGCGTAGCCGCCAGCACGTCTGCCACGCGGCCGCCGACGCCTCTCGGCACCGCGCCCGCCTCCTGGCACTTGAGCGTCTGCGCGGCGTTCTGCTGGTGGTTGTGGGAGAAGATGCCCAGGCACCGGTCCACCTCGCCGCTCTGCCACGCCTCTTTGGTGGTCGGCTCCACCAGGGCACCGATGTTGCTGACGAACGCGGCCTGCTTGCGCGACTCGTAGAGCTGCTGCAGGAAGGGCATGGAGGGGTGCACGCCGAACGTGGCGCACGCCTGTCCGGCCGTCGTGATGGGCAGGAGGCTCGCCTGGCTGATCCCCATGTTCCCGCGTGTGCCCGCGTACTCGTTGTACAAGGAGCACCCGATCGGCACGATCAAATTGTATGTGTCTGCGCCGCCGTGCATGAACAGCATCACCAGCGCCCGGTACGACTCTGGCGTGTGGGCCACCTCCTCGGGCTGTGCCTCTCGTGTGCCGTTCGGCTGCGGGGCTCCGAGGGTCTGGAACTCGGGCGTCAGCACGATCGCCTGCTGCGCCCCCTTGACCCCGGAGCCTGCGTACGCGGCCTCCACCACCTGCTTGTTGTGGGGCGTGAGGCGGCCGCCAGTGAGCAGCAAATCGAGCTCTTGCACGACGTCCGCTGCCGAGGCACCGCTGGCGGCGTAGAGCAGGTCCCCCTCGTGGCACTCCAGCGCGTCGGCGCTGCCATAGTTTTTGCCGAAGCTTCCAGTATACTGGTTCACAGCGAACCCCACCCCGAAGCCGTCGCCGCAGGGGCTGTAGCCGCGGTCCATTATCCCTGCCACGCCATTCAGGAACCCGATAGCCCAGGGCGGGGTGAAGATCTGGAACTCGGGACCGACAAACGGCTCGGGCTGAGGTTCTGGCTCTGGAGCTGGCGTCGGGCTGCTGACCGATGTTGGAGCCGACGTGGGAAACAACGTGGGAGCCAAAGACGACGTGGGAGTCGACGTTGGGGCGACGGTCGGCGATGCAGTAGGAGCCGAGGACGGTGTCGATGTCGTAGCGCTACCGCACTGCGGCACGAGACTCCCAGCGATGCTCTGTGCAACACAAGCAGCTGCCGCCACAGGAACACCCCCGCGACCAGGAATAGAAGTATCGTCGTAGATGGCACTAATTTGATCCGCCTGGCTGACCGTGTGCATTTCATCGCGGAATGTTGTTCCATTTTGTGGCCCAACATTGCCAGAAAGCGTGCACGATTGAAAGTGCACGTGTCCACCAGTAGTCATCACGGCCGCCCCCTGCTGAGCGTCGTCATCATCGTCTCTGCTTATCATGTTTCCACAGAAATAGCATTGATCCCAGAGTATCGTGTGCGTCGAAGCATACGTGGGGCTGTGATCGTACAGACCAGTGGCAACAGCTCCACCTGTGTGCTGGGCCACATTTTGCTTAAATGATACACGTGCGTAAATGTACGTGTGCTCCAGCGGATTTCCTGTCTGAGTGCCGGGCGGACCCCACAACTCGTTCAAGATAGCACCGCCATGCCCCCCGCCCCACCAATCGTTTTGCACATTATTCCATGTGGCCAGTACTGTCATCTGGGATACTGCTCTGTTCCCTTCGAAGGTTGTGTCGGAAATATCCAGGTTCCCATTCTGGTTGAAGATAGCTCCACCCAATTTGCCCACATTGTCTGTGAAACTGCTGTGAGTTATTTTAACTGGACCAGCGCTTCCAAAATAGATAGCGCCGCCACCGACAGCCGCCTGGCTGCCGTCCAGTTTAGTGTTACCGAACGCAGTGTTCGAGGTTAAAGTGAGGCAGCTTAGCGTCGATTGCAGTGAGTACAAGATGAATGCTCCCCCATTCCCTCCACTGTTGCCAACTGCTGTGACACCGGTCATCTCGAGGGGCGCACTGCAACCACCCATCGTGCATATTACTCTGGCTGCACCTCCACCATTGAGCGACCGGTCCAACACAGTAGGGAAATCGGTTGCCTGATTGCTGCTGAACGTCACTGAAGTAATATTCAAGCGTTGGCTTGCAATGTTGGCGGCAGACGTGCCATCTGCTTGCATGTTGACTGCAAGAGCGCCTCCAGCATTTGCTGCGCTGTTCCCAATGAAATTTACATTTTCCAATTCCATGATAACAGGTTCAGCATCCACCGCTCCACCGTAATCAGCGGCAGTACAACCCTCAAATGACGAGTGCCTTATCGCGACCACCGCGCCATAGCCAAATGCCAAGCACCCACCAGAGCCGTAGTCGTAAAACACACCTCCGCTATTACCTCGGCCATTCACGAAACGCAAACCCTCGATAACGACACGCTGATTAGTTGCAAAAATCCGGCCGTACGCGCCAAGAAAGCCGATATTGCCGAACAGGAAGATTCGGTTAATTCCCTGACCATCCAAAGTGACAGATGCATACAACGCTGTATCCACTCGCAGGGTGATGTCTCTCGCGATGGAGCGGTGTGTGCTCAAAGGGATGACGACGTGACTCCCAGGAGGCCCGCATTGAAACTCGATTGTAGAGGCTTGTCCATTCTCTACTTTTGTCCAAGCAGCTCCAAGCGAAGCATCGGTGCAGGATTCTTCGGTTCCGTCGCCCACAATTTCGATCAATACGTTGGTACCCTGAAGCTTCGCGTCCCGCCGCATCATGGACTGCTGCACCCCCGAGAAGGAGGGCGGCGCGTACAGGGCATCGTAGAAGTTGAAGACGGTCGGGGACCTGTAGGGGAACTGCCCGATCGCCATGTCCAGGTTCCGCGTGACGACCATCTGGTCCTCCTTGTCCGCGTACTCCATGGACCGCATGAAGTGCACGAGCTTCAGCATCGGCTCCCTCAGCAGCCCCACGGTGTTCTGGTCGGCGGACCGGGCCTCCGGGTGGAGCAGGACGGCTGCGACCGTGGCCCCGAGATCCCCATACTTGCCAGAATAAACGTGGCCGTCGTAGGCACCTGTGGAGAAAGCCGTCGCCACGGCCTCGAGGTAATCACCAGACGGGTTCGAGGTCACGAAGCGCTGGATCAGCTTGCGGCTGACCACCACAGGCGTGTTAGAGTGATAGAACAGGTGGTCCAACAGGCTCTCGACCTCCGCGTGCGCGGCACGCTCCAGCGCCCGGCCCGTCTGGCGGAGCGCCCCTGGGGCGATAAAGGCCGGCGGGTTGCGGAAGGAGGCGCTCCCCACGCGGACCATGCTCCGCTCGTTCTTGTAGAGCTTGCCGTCGACCTCGAAGACGGTGTCGGCGTCTGGGGGATCAGCGCCCCAAACTCTCACCTCGCCGCTGCACGGCGCCGCGCACTGGGCTCCGCCGGGCACCTCGAACACGAGAATCTTCAGGTCAGCCACCGCCTCAGCCTTGGTCGGGACGGTGGTGAACACCGGCTCGGCCTCCACCGTGACGTTGTAGTCGCCCGCAGGCGGGGGGCCACCATCCGCCCAGATGGGCATGAACCTGTTCTGGGCGTGATTAAGCGTGTGGGCGCTGATCATGCCGTCCTCGTGGACTGTCGCCACGAGCGAGCACGGGGAGGGCGTCCACACGCGCTCCGCTGGCAGGGCGCACTCCTGCTTGGTCTCCTCCGCGCACACGTGCATACCGAGGCTGGCGCAGTGGCTCTCGGCGTCGTGGGCGCTGACGTGGATGCCGCAGACGCGGCTCTCAGCGTAGGCGCCCTCGCTGCAATCGTCGCCCTCATAGCCCGCGCCCCCCTCCCAGCATGAAAGCCGGCAAGCCTTGGGACCCAGCCAGTTGTACTCATCCCCGTGCCTGCACTTTTCTATGGTCATCGCTGGGAGGCCGTCTGGCCAGGTGAGCCATGTCGTGTTGTGGTTCAAGCAGGTGAAACCCTTCAGCTGCATCCAATAGTTCTCATCGTTCGTACAGCCCCTGCAGCAGGACGCGGCGGCAAGCTTACCATATGGCTGCACGCACTCACGCCCGAAGTAATATACCGACGAACCCCACCACTGGCCGTCCTCCGTGAGCCTTCCGTTGTAGAAGAACATGTGCACGCATGGTGGCGGCACAAACTCGTAGTAGCCGCCGGGTACTTTAACGTAGGTGAGCGACTCCAGCGAACACTCAGAGCCGTGGCATGGCAAGGCCGACGGCAAAGTTCGCGAGGGGGCGAACTTGCAGTCGCTTTCGTCACCGCCGCACAGCGCGCTCAGCAGGCTCGAACTGGCACTCGGCTCGAACACGAGGGGGGCGCAATCTGGCGGACCAGAATACTGCTCGTAGCTGGGAAGCGCACGCGCGCCGCTGTCTGCGAGGGTGCACCTCTTATCGAAGACCCTGAACGTGAAGTGCGCACAGCCGCTCACGGACTTGCAGCGCTGCTGGCAGGCATCCGAATCCTGCGTCGTGCTTGGGAACTGGCCGGCCATATCCCGCGGGTCGTAATAGACGTCGAGTTCCGTGCAATTCGGCGCTGACTGGCCGCGGAATTCGAACCGGGCTCCAGCGAGCAGGAAGGGGCGTTCAGGCATGCTGCTGCACACGGGGTACCCGTCGCCGAGGTAGCCGCTGTACAGGTCTGGCTTAGGATAGATATCGTGGGGCCTGCCTCGGATCTTCATGGGGTCGATGTAGTTGGCAGTCGAGCCCTCGGTAGCCAGCTCGATGTTCATGCGCATGTCGTTCCAGCGGACGAACCCGGTGAAGACGCGGGCGAAATTCATGATGTTCTCATTGGTGTAGGTCGGCACGTCCTCCCCCTTATCGTTGACGACCACTCTGCCGTCTTTGACAACCTTCGCGACGCCGATGGTGAACAACTGCATGACCTTGGGAAGGGACCAAATCTCTGTCTTTTGATTTCCACCAGCTTCCGCGTTGCCCCCTCGCGTCAATAAATTGCGGTGCTCACTTGACGATGACATAAGTCCGACCCGTCCTCTGAGCGTCGGTTGCTTGGAGAAGCAGCTCTTCCAGAATAACCTCTTCTAATCCTTTCGGGAAGGGTCTACCCGTTCCCCCAAACCCCCCCATCCAAAGGAGTCTGGTCGGAGGGAAGTCGCGATGGACTGGAGCGTCCAAGACGGTTCTAAGATGGCCCGTGACAGCCCAAGGCAGCGTCTAGGATGACACACACACACACACACAGAATGGCCCAAGTTGGCACTAAAGGGCATCCAAGATGCCCCAAAGTGGCAGCAAGAGGGGCAAACACCGCGCCGCCTAACCAAATCACAATTTCCCAAATGAGTGTGTTGCCACAGCTTGCACCGCAGGTCGACACAGAGACCCAGTCACACAACCGAATCGCGATCTCGTAGGCGAGTCTCCCTGTGGTCGGATGCGCAGTTGGTCACGCCATAGGCTGCGGCAGGCACCCCGTCATACAGCCAAGCCGAAATCCACGGGAAACTCTACGTCTGACGGGATGCGCCGCAGGTTGCGCCGTGGGTTTCGGCAGACCCCCCGCCATGAAACGAAATCACGACGTCCAATGTGAGACAAATTGCGTTCACGCGGCGCGGCACACACTCCGTCACGCAACCAAATCGTGATTTCTGGGGCGAAGCAGAAGTTGCGCCGTAGACTGCTCCAGAAACCCCGCCACACAACCAAATCGCGATTTTCCGAATGAGCCTACATTCCATAAATTGACCCATAGGCTGCGACAAACACCCCCCCGCACAACCAGATCGGGACATCCTCGGTGGGCCTATTCGAGCGTGGACCTCAAACATGAAAGTATTGCCACTCGGCGGGGCCCCACGTCCAGGGTCCTACGGCACCCACCACGCAGAGCAATGCAAAACGATGCGAAGCAATGCAATGTAAAACAGCCCAAACCGACGCAACACTCATCAGCGATTCTAATGCAATCCAAATTAAGTTGCTGACAGCAACGAGAAGCAAGGCGACGCAACGCAATCTCACGGCGCAATCCAGGGCCACAACCTCCGGCAGCGAAACATCAGCGGCACGTGAGGCGAAACCTACGGCCGCAACCCATGGCGCAACCTGTCTCGTCGCAGAGGGGAGAATTAACATCGCGTTCGAAATTGCATGTTGCAATTGCGTCGCAATTGCATGTTGCATCCGTTTGCGCTGACTCTAGAAGGGAGGACTCGAAGAATGCGGGGGCGACCTCGAGCAACGGGAGGGGGGGTAAAGCAACCCAGTCTCGAGGCAATCTTGACCTGAGCTTTCGCAACTTCGACTCGAAGTCTCGATGCCCGTCTAAGTTTGCTCTGTCTGGTCGGACTGCCTGGATGTAACAGACAGCGTTGCCAGGGTGTGATCGAAACGGTCTGGGGACCACGCGAAACCAGCAGCAACCCATTGCCCTCGGGGAGAAGTTCGTAGATTCCACGGGTGCCATGGGGGAAATGCCTTGCAAACCTTGGCTTCAGAAACGGTCACGATCGGCAACAAAACGAGACACATCGTGTCAGTGCACGGCACTGGTGTCACAACGCCTTCTTCCGACTGGGCCGAACTCCATCGTGCCCGCGCGCTTCCATCCGTGCCCCCGCAAGGGACGGACCATCCCGAGACCTCCCACACAGGACGGGTCCTGTGTTCCTCCTCCCCATCCGCTTCGAAGCCCGCCAAATGAGAACCCTTCGTGCTCCGGTCAGGTCACTGCAGAAGGGACATGACAGGACAGGGAAAAGGGTCCCAGACCCCCGACTTCATGATTTGTTCACATTCGCCTGAACAGGTTTTTCATCCTGAGTCGTTCTTGGACGGCCCCGAGGCCTGGTAAGGGCCTCCAGAAGGCGAAACTAGCGAGAAACCGTCCGTCGTGCAATGTGCGCGACTCGAGGGTAGGGCCTGGGCGAGGGGAACCCTGACCGTGGCGACAAGGGCGGCTTCCCCGCCCTCCATGGCCACCTACGTTGTAACTTGTTTCAATGTGTTGTTGCTTTTTATTCCCTACCTAGGCTCTGCCTAGAAGGGTTTTTACTCTCTGAGCTGAAAGGGGCCGGGCAGTGGAAAGCGCCCCGGGCGGTTCCCCCAGTATCCGTCCCGCGGTTCCCCCAGTTACGTCCCCTTAGCTTAGCGCTGCTTATCTCATCTTAGCTTAGCTTTTGTCATATTAGTTTAGCTTAGCTTCATCTTAGCTCAGGTTTATCTTAGCTTAGCTTACCGTCAACTTAGCTTCGCTGAGCTTTAGCATAGCAGAGCACATCATAGCATAGCATGGCGTAGCATAGCACAGCGAAGCACATCATGTCATAACATAGCCCAGCATAGCATAGCATAGCGCAGCATAGCATAGCATAGCATAGCATAGCGCAGCACAGCACAGCACTGCATAGCACAGCGCAGCATAGCATAGCATAGCATAGCATAGCGCAGCTTAGCATAGCATAGCATAGCATAGCATAGCTTAGCATAGTACAGCGCAGCATGTCATAGCATAGTTTAGCATAGTATAGCATAGCATAGCATATTATAGCACAGCATAGCATAGCATAGCATAGCATAGCATAGCGCAGCATAACATGGCATAGTACATCATAGCATAACATAATAACTAATGCTGCTGTCCTAGGGGCTCCAACTTCTAGGTAGGGTCGCACTGGGCAATTGCTTATGTGTGCTTATGTGTGGCGAAGCAAGAGGAAGAGGAGGAGGAGGAGGAGGAGGAGGAGAAGGAGGGGAGGAGGAGGAGGGGGAGGAGGGGGAGGAGGAGGAGGGAGGAGGAGGAGGAGGAGGAGGAGGAGGAGGAGGAGGAGGAGGAGGAGGGGGAGGGAGGAGGAGGAGGAGGAGGAGAAGGAGGAGGAGGGGGAGGAGGGGGAGGAGGAGGAGGAGGAGGAGGGAGGAGGAGGAGGAGGAGGAGGAGAGGAGGAGGAGAGAGGAGGAGGAGGAGGAGGAGGAGGAGGAGGAGGAGGAGGAGGAGGAGGGGGAGGGGGAGGGGAGGAGGAGGGAGGAGGAGGAGGAGGAGGAGGAGGAGGAGGAGGAGGAGGAGGAGGAGGAGGGGGAGGGAAATGGAGGAGGAGGAGGAGGAGGAGGAGGAGGAGAAGGAGGAGGAGGAGGAGGACTGTGTTCTAAAGGCCACCTACGTTGTAACTTCGTGCGCCGCGATGCGCGCCGTTGTCCTCGCGCACCCGCGCGGCAGGCCCTGGCGAGGGCCAGGCATCCGGCCCAGGCCGCGAGGCGCGCAGCGCGACTGCCTTCGTGCCCCCAGGGCTGACCTACGGTGAGGTCGGGCCTGTCCCCCTACAGGGGGATTTTGGACGAAAAATAAAAAATACGCAAAAAATGCTCAAAAGATGCCCAAAAATATTCAAAAATTAGCCCAAAAATGCCCCCAAGAGGCCACCAGGAGACCCCCAAGAGGCCCCCAGGAAGCCCCAAGAGGCCCCCCCCGCCACATTAGAGAACGCATGGGTCGCCCTCCAGGGTCGGCGGCACCGGCCGTAAGGTCTTCGCAATAAAAAAATACGCAACAAATGCTCAAAAGATGCCCACAAATATTCAACAATTAGTCCCCATACTTTTTTTTGACTATGTTTGAATATTCCCCTTGTAGAGGGGCAGGCCCGACTTGCACCTAAGGTGAGTTGCACGGCGTCGGCGCGCGCAAATGTTTTCGACACCGCGACGATCGTTCAACGTTGAGCCGATCGCGGCCCCGATCGTGCAAGGTTGAACTCAGTCGTGTTCAATGGCGTTGCTGTGTAACTTTGTGCTTCCGCGTCGCAGAATACAACCCTAAACGCCCTGGCCAGCGTCGCCTGCGCGCCAACGCCGGTGGCCGGTGACCTACAGTCAACCCGTACCATAAGGACGAAAGATAAGGATGCGAGGGCCTTGAAGGCCATGTCGACACTCTGCGAGCGGGGCGCAGCCAGCGAAAGCGGCCGAGGACGGGCCGAAGGGAAGGATGCAAGTGAACCAGCAAGCAAACGACACCACCCCACCTGCGGCCCAACGGGGCTTAGTGTATACCAGCAAATCTGGCGTGGGTTTTTGTTTGCGTTGTATACGCTACGGCCCCCGATGGGGGCCGTAGCGCAACATGGAGGGCCGTAGGTGGGGTGGTGTCGTTTTTTTGTGGTCGAGCAAGGGTAGCCTTGTAAAGTCGCTCATCCTTGCTATGCGGATTGACTGTAGGCTTAAGTCTGGGCATATCCCTCTACAGGAGGAATATGCAAAACAAATAGTTCAAAAACAAAAAATGGGGACAATGTTTCGACTGTTATTGACCATGTTTGAATCATGTTTTCACTATGTTTCCTTTCCTTCCAAATTCCGCCTGTAGAGGGACGTGCCCGATCCAACTGTAGGCCCTGCCGAGACGGGTCCGAGGCTGGGAACATTGCGGGGGGCCCTTGGAGGAGCCAGCAGGCCAAGGCTGTGCATCTGGCGCCCCGCGCCGCTCGAAAAGAGGAGGACGAGGAGGAGGAGGAGGAGGAGGAGGAGGACGAGGAGGAGGCTCGAGAAGGCTCGAGGAGGAGGAGGAGAAACAGAAGGAGGAGGAGAAGAGGGAGGAGGAGGAGGAGGAGGAGGAGGAGAAATTGAATAAGAAC